ATTGTCTCTGGGACACAGAAGTGGATTCAAAGTTCATTTTAATGATGAAGATTAAGCCACTCAAAAGGTGGCACGGGCATGAATAGCCCGCCCCCCAAACAAAAACTTTTAATTTATATCCGTTCTATATTTATAGCTGTGTACTCACCTACTTGTGCTTGCGGGAGTTGAGCTTTGGCTCTTTGGTCCCGCCTGTGTGGAACAAATTTGGTGCATCCCGGCCTTAGTCTGGTTATATATAGTGGATTTTAGGATTTATTTTCGTGCTATATGGAGTAATGAATGATGTGCGTGTTGTGTGTACCCAGTGTTACAATATCCCAGAGTGGCGTTGATTAGTTCATGGCGTTGATCTTGGATATTTTCCCAACTGAGCAGTAGCACGAATTGTTCTGGCTAGTTCAGCTATATTTTCCCTGTAAAGTTTTCCACAGTGTGTTGGGACACCTTGTTTGCATACTTAAGAGAACAGCTGTGAATCTCAGTAGCGCAGTGGTAAGAAACTCACCTAACACTACGCACTTGGCCTGGGTTCGTATCCTGGCCGGGGAGGATTGACCGGGTGTCAATCCTTAACTGTTCGCCTCTGTTCACCAAGCAGGTAATGGGTACCTGGTTGTTAAACGATTTGGCGGGTCGAATTCTAGGGAAAATTAAGATTTAGGACCCGGATAAGAATATGGATAAATGATTGGATATTCGCTATCGCTGAAGTGGTAATTGTTGTTTTGTGTTTGAGATCCATAATTGTTTATTGTCTTGTTTTTTATTTGTTTGTTGCAATTGCATTATCGTAGGTTTCCTATCCCCCAATATTGGGAATCAAAATTTCCAGAAATTTGGATTAAAGGGTTACCCCTTACTTTTATGCTAAGTTTTCTTATAAATGTAAAAGAAAATGCAAACTTAATATGAGTAACTAAAGGAAAATACAAAACATACATAAATTTATATAAATAATATTTGTCTTTATGAATTCACCTGAATTGACCCAAGGGGCAACCATCTCTAGTTGCCTCAATTGGGACAGAAAGCTGGCGGCTTGTTGACCAGTCCACACACTAGAAAGTGAAGGGACGACGACGTTTCGGTCCGTCCTGGACCATTCTCAAGTCGATTGTGGCTTGATTCCCTAATCGGCTTGAGAATGGTCCAGGACGGACCGAAACGTCGTCGTCCCTTCACCTTCTAGTATATGGTCTGGTCAACGGAGGTATTGAATATTACTCAATCTAGAACTCCAACATTCTGCTTGTAACTCATTTTGTATCTACTTTTCTCTAAATAAACATTATTATTATTATAGGTCTGGGTAGAATCAAATCCGAAACGCTATGCGTATTAGTGGCTTTAGGATAAATATACATAAATATACATAAATATACATAAATTTACATAAGAGCTATGTACTAGCTCTTATCTTTAAACCCAACATTTACGTTCATTTACGTTCCGGTACTGCCCGAAACGTTTTGCGTAATAGTGGCTTTAGGCATTGTATGTACTAGCTCTATCTATTAAGCCAACAAACTTTGTAAAATCTCTTTATGTATGTACCTTTACCTAAATAAATTATTATTATTATTATTATTATTATTATTATTATTATTATTATTATTATTATTATTATAACATTATATTTGTAACTCATCTTCAATGTATGTATCTTTACCTGAATAAAAAATATAAATCTAACTTATTTTGGTAGATTAACTAGTTCCAGTACGGAAGGCGATTTTGACATGATTTTTGGCGTTTTATGGTGATATTTTGTATAACGCAGACATGTCCTTTTGTGTGTGAGGGGCTATCTTATCTTGAGGTTATCCTGAGATGATTTCGGGGCTTTTAGTGTCCCCGCGGCCCGATCCTCGACCAGGCCTCCATCCCCAGGAAGCAGCCCGTAACAGCTGGCTAACTCCCAGGTATCTGTTTACTGCCAGGCAAACAGGTGCATCAGAGTGAAAGAAACTCTACCCTTTTGTTTCCGCCTCCGCCAGAGATCGAACCCGGACCCTTGCGAATACGAACCCCGAGCGTTGTCCACTCAACCGTCAGGCTCGCTTCGCAAACCTTCAACATGTCCTTTCCGCTTCCCACTTTACCATAGAGCTTTGTGTCATATATAAATGTGATGTATTAGTTACAACTGTGGAAATATAATGAATAAATGAGTTTCAGCAATTAAAGAACTCTATATTATATAAGACTGAGTTGTGTTATTTTCAGATGATTGCTGGTTGAAGTCTGCCAGTCACCTTACAACCACTACCTTACTAACTAGCAAACCTTACATGTACTGGTACACCCTCTGCCAGTGATGCCAAGGCCACCCACATGCGTGCTACGGGCTCACCATAGCCCGTGCTACTAGGAACTTATTGTTCCAGCTAGCAAATCTTTAACAACAACAAACAAACCCACATGCGCTACATTGCCAGTGATGCCACGATCACAACATTCTACAACTCTACCCAACATTCATCTGAATGTGTTGAAGCTATTCACCAAGCTGTGTGTTGAAGGTACACGCACAAAAATCACAATAGCGTGATGAACAAATTCACAAGGGCCGTGATGAGGGTTCGAACCTATGTCCAGGATGATCCCAGACGTTGCCACCATTCCTTAACCTATCCACCTACCCTCTATCCCAAATCCTTAGCCTGACCCCTTCCAAGTGCTATATAGCCGTAATGGCATGGCGCTTCTCCCCCCCCCCCCTGATAATTCCCTTCAACCATCAACTCATCCACTTACCACTACCTAATTGCAACATTGACAACGTAGAATAAACCAAATGATTGACACCATCCATCATTCAAATACAAAAAGACAGTACAAGACTATTACCAATCACCTTACCAATCAACTCTGCTGCCACACAGTTTAAGAAAACAACAGGAAATACGATTGGCCAATCTTGAAAGGCCAGAATCTGGACGAGCCATGACACTAAGATGGTGTTGTAGGCGACAAAAAAAGTTCACCTTCACTACAAAAGTAGATCAAAAGACCTCAGCGGTCTCCAAAAGACCTCAGCGGTCTCCAAAAGACCTCAGCGGTCTCCAAAAGACCTCAGCGGTCTCCAAAAGACCTCAGCGGTCTCCAAAAGACCTCAGCGGTAGCCGAAAAAAAAATTCTGTCAGCAAAACCAAAAACCAAAATGATTGGTTTAAAACTTTCCAACCACAACAGCATCTTCAAAACGTCTGGGATAAATGGAACAGTATTAACATTCACTCGACTCTTCCCTCTTCATCATACACGATGAATGGAGCATTGCAGACTCATCACAAGCGTGCAACTATACCTGCTCATCACGGAGCAGTTGCTGTTGCTACTTGGAACAAAAAAATTCCAAGTAGCACGGGCTATGGTGAGCCCGAGCAGAGATGGAATCTCTCTCTCTCGTCCACTCATCAGACCCCAGACTTCGATCTTCGCCTTCTCTAGGAACTCGGGAAATTGTGTAAAAAAAACCGGGTTTGAGTCTCGGAGAGGCTGCAGGATCCGTAGTAGGTCAGGTTGATTTCCCGGTTGCAATTCTTATTACCATGTCGTAGCTCAGCCAATTAAGGCAGCGTCTGGGATCCTCTCGGACGTAGGTTCGAATCCTCGTCACGGCCCTTGTGGATTTGTTGATTTGATGCATCAGGCTATTGTGATTTCTGTGTGTAACGCATAATGTGATTTCTGTGTGAAATAAATATTTTATATATTATATTATTTAACTTAAGGGTTAGAAACATATCCCACATTATATGTCTCATCATACTGCCTTGTATTACCAATATTTTATTAATTTTGTTGATATATTCCTCATTATACATCAATAAATCAATATTGTATTTTTTTCTTTCTGATATGTCACACTTGCATCACATAAATATGATAAACAGTCGTAGATACGACGTACCGTACTTCACGTCCATAATTTATGTAGAATCTATTAACAACCTGATTTTGTAGGTATTGTGCTAACTGATACATATACCCACTTAATGAATTTATGAAAATGATAATGTTTTATTTATTTCTAGACCTAAGAACAATTTGAGTGCTTGCACTCAAATTGTTGTGCGTGCGGGGGGTTGTGTTTGGGGGGGGGGGCGGGGGTTGTGTTTTTAAGTGACAGCTTTCACTATTAATCTACTTGTGTAGTGATTTTCAAGCTCTCAGGACTCTGGTTAGATCTGTATTTGAAGTTCTAAGTGAAGTTCATGTCTAGAAATGGGTTTGGTGGTGATGGAGATATTGGCTATAGTGATGGGGATATTGGCTATAGTGATGGGGATATTGGCTATAGTGATGGGAATATTGGCTATAGTGATGGGGATATTGGCTATAGTGATGGGGATATTGGCTATAGTGATGGGGATATTGGCTATAGTGATGGGGATATTGGCTATAGTGATGGGAATATTGGCTATAGTGATGGAAATATTGGCTATAGTGATGGAAATATTGGAGGTAATAGTGACGGACGGGTAGACAACGGTGATAGTGATGATATTGACAGGCTGGTGGAGGGAGACCTCGAATAGTGAAAGTGATGGTGGACATTTTTTAATAATGACGATAGTGTTAGGGGGCGTTAATGGTGACCCTTAACAACCTGATGGTGAGGACGGTGACTGTGGTGGCGCTGATGGTGACCCAATCACTTCCGATGGTGACTGTGGGGGGGTGACACTGAATTATATTCCCCTAAAAACATTCTCAGCAAACACGTGTAAACAAAAAAACATCTGTTTACACAACTCCACCACCATCGTGAGTGGACTTGGCGGGTCCCTACCCCAAGCTAAGATTGTTTACAACCACAGCTCCTCGTAAAAGAAGACGAACAAGGTTATTGCCACGACAAAAAACTTCCCGACGCAACAGCTTCGAGATTTACAACTTAAGACAATGACTCGACAGAATCTAGCAACAATGGGGGTGGAGGCATCCACGGCGAGTCCAGACGTCCTCAGTCACACACTGGAGACGGGAGAGGCACGTTGTGCGACGCTCTCACTCACATTTGGTGGAAAAAGGCTGATTTTCTTGGCACTCCTTCGATCAAGCTTGACTATGCTTGTAAGACTCATGGGTACCTCAAGATTCCTTGCTGCTCTAGGGCTCCTGGTTGCCGTAGTGACAGCTCAGCTACCATTTGCGACAATTCCAACCATTTCCGACGAAGTAAAGGCGAATGCATTTACTGGAGAAGCCGCGTCGTTCCTCAGACTATGGGAATACGCGCTCAAAACTGACGGTCAAGGCCCGGGCCCTGTCAACAGAATCAATTTCGGTGAGTTATCATATTGTTCTCATTCATTTAACAACCCAATAACACATAAACGAACGTACAAGCCAATCAGACAATTCCTCATCACCTATTTGCGTATAATTTTACGAGAGCTTTGCCGGAAGGGCAGGAAATATCCGCAGTGAGTCGTATATAGTTCCTTCCCAGAACCTAGCAAGACATATGTATTCCAAGAACGCTACTGACGAAGGTTGACGTGTAGATGATTGATGGGAACACGCCCTAACACACTCCTTGACACGCAAGGTACTCCTGAGTACTGAGACACACACACACACACACACACACACACACACACACACACACACACACACACAAGGGGTTTTATATTGGTAGGACGAGAACTGGTGTACACAAGGGGGAGGAACCTGAACTATTGGGTACAAAAGGAGTGGGCCGTGAACTTGGGTACAAAAGAGGCGTACCCTGAACTATAGGGTACAAAAGGGGGAGTAAGCCCTGAACTAGGGTACAAAAGGGCCCTGAACTATGGGACACAAAAAGTAAGTGGGATCACAACTACAAATATATATATATATATATATATATATATATATATATATATATATATATATATATATATATATATATATATTATTCGTTCTTGCCCCTGTAGTAGATAATCAACTCTACAAGAGCAAGGAGACCTCTCATGATCAACTCTCCCGACACAAAGAAAAACATCTTGAAAGGGATGAATGTCGTCTATGTCTTCACCTCTCACTTGGGGACTGTCAGCCCCAATGATCTCAATATATTGGCAAGACAACGTTTCTTGTAAGGCGCTTGACAATGACCCTAGAATAAGCTTCCATCAAATATGGAATTTCTAGACACAAATAGATATCCAAAGATACCCTGACCAGCAACATAGCAATAATTGACAAAGAGAATAATGGAAGATTAGACATTGGCGAAGCATTAACATATTAAACTTCCCTTAGACCAACTCATGTGAGAGGGCTTGTAACTTCAGCCCTTTCAATGTATTCATCTGCTTTATTAAACAGGCAATCAGCATTGTGTGTATATGTGTCTGTGTATGTGCGCGTGTTTGCATGTATATGTATTTGCTATTTGTGGCTACATAATCGAGCTATTGGTTCTTGGATCATGCATTTCTAACTAATCTACTTTTTTTCCTTTATTATGTCTGCTACACATATTACTCTCTAACATCTAACTCCCATATATCTATTTACGGCTAAGTGAACAGAGGCATCAGGGTAAAAAAAAACTCTGCCTAAATGATCCTGCGTCGGCCGAGAATTGAACCCGGCCCCTTTGGATTACGATGACCGAGCGCTGTCCACTCAGCCGTCAGTTCCCCATAACACACACACACACCTCCATGTGTGTGTGTGTGTATGTGTGTGTGTGTGTGTGTGTGTGTGTGTGTGTGTGTGTGTGTGTGTGTGTGTGTGTGTGTGTGTGTGGATATAAGGAAGACAACATTATGTATAAATGTTCCTTTCTGTTAAAGAGCTTAGCTAAGCGGATACATTTGTGTAACTACTCCATTAGTGATTATAACTCTTGTGTGGTAATTAAGGAAGTGAGTAGTTCCCTTGTTAGTTTAATACTGTGTTCTTACAATGCCCCGGGCTGTGAGTAGGCCTACTTGACCTGACCTATGACCGCTGCATTTTCAATTGCATATAATTTAAATTACACAGCCATCAGCTCTGCAATTAACACATTTATATTCAGAGCAACTTAGCCAGTCTCCACTTAAAAGAGGAAACCAAAAACCACTATTAACTAACAACTAAAAATTCACTATTAACTAACAACTAAAAATTCACTATTAACTAACAACTAAAAATTCACTATTAACTAACAACTAAAAATTCACTATTAACTAACAACTAAAAATTCACTATTAACTAACAACTAAAAATTCACTATTAACTAACAACTAAAAATTCACTATTAACTAACAACTAAAAATTCACTATTAACTAACAACTAAAAATTCACTATTAACTAACAACTAAAAATTCACTATTAACTAACAACTAAAAATTCACTATTAACTAACAACTAAAAATTCACTATTAACTAACAACTAAAAATTCACTATTAACTAACAACTAAAAATTCACTATTAACTAACAACTAAAAATTCACTATTAACTAACAACTAAAAATTCACTATTAACTAACAACTAAAAATTCACTATTAACTAACAACTAAAAATTCACTATTAACTAACAACTAAAAATTCACTATTAACTAACAACTAAAAATTCACTATTAACTAACAACTAAAAATTCACTATTACAAGCATCACTATTAAAGATGTTATTGTCAGTCAGCTGTTTGGTGTCTCTGTTGTTTAAATGTCTAAATTTAAATTGTAAAATTGTAAATTAAATTGTAAAAATTTAAATGTAAAAAATCTTTACCTCTACCAAAGGTAAACAAAGAGTGTACCTTTGCATCATTCAGTGAGTTTAAGACAAATGGTAAGACATTTGAGGAGTAACTTATAGGAAAAGTAGTGTCTTTCAAACAATTCAAACTCCCAATAGGCACTGCAAGAGTATCTATCTACAGTTAACTAACATGTGATGCAATATTGACATATATATTTTATGGGCTACCAAATCTACATATTTATTTATATGATGCGTTTAGCGTCTTTAAAAATGTGTGATACATTACACATATTTGTAGCACGAACCTGCGCTTGTAATATGTCTTATGTTTCTCCTGTATGCGCACTGATATGCTCTGAGGTAACCTGTGCAGCTGGGTTGATTGATTGATGAAGATTAAGCCACCCAAAAGAGGTGGCACGGGCATGAATAACCCGTAAGTGATTTTTTTTGGAGTGAATGTGATTTTTGGTCGGGAAATGGAGGTGGTGACGGAGGAACCTTGGTGCAGGATGTTGTTGTTGTTAAAGATTTGGCTACTCAGGACGAAGTGTCCATGTAGCACGGGCTATGGTGAGCCCGTAACTTGGTGGAGGAAACACCAAGCCACTTATATAGCATGTGGAAGGAGTCAGGATAAGGATTTGGGATGGGACGCTGGGTAGGAATAGTGCCCAAACACTTGTGGACGCTCGGGGATTGAACACCGACCTGCATGAAACGAGACCGTCGCTCTACCGTCCACCCCAAGTGGTGGGATGCGTGTGTATTTGTAATGAGAGGTGAGGTACAGGGTTTGTTAACAAGGAGTAATCAGCATCTGAAGAAATACACAAGAGCAGTGATAAGGGTTCGAACCTACGTTTAAGAGGCTCGTAGGTGTAAGGAGCAATCAGGTCTGGCATTTCTAAGAAAAGAGAGAGTGGTTTGAGGCATCTTGGAAGGAGGAAAAGATGTCTGAGTTTTCTAACCGAGGTCTAAGATCTCTAACTGAGGTCTGAGATCTCTAACTGAGGTCTGAGATCTCTAACTGAGGTCTGAGATCTCTAACTGAGGTCTAAGATCTCTAACTGAGGTCTGAGATCTCTGAGGTCTGAGATCTCTAACTGAGGTCTGAGATCTCTAACTGAGGTCTGAGATCTCTAACTGAGGTCTGAGATCTCTAACTGAGGTCTGAGATCTCTAACTGAGGTCTGAGATCTCTAACTGAGGTCTGAGATCTCTAACTGAGGTCTGAGATGTCTAACTGAGGTCTGAGATCTCTAACTGAGGTCTGAGATCTCTAACTGAGGTCTGAGATCTCTAACTGAGGTCTGAGATCTCTAACTGAGGTCTGAGATGTCTAACTGAGGTCTGAGATCTCTAACTGAGGTCTGAGATCTCTAACTGAGGTCTGAGATCTCTAACTGAGTTCTGAGATCTCTAACTTAGGTCTGAGATCTCTAACTTAGGTCTGAGATCTCTAACTGAGGTCTAAGATCTCTAACTGAGGTCTGAGATCTCTAACTTAGGTCTGAGATCTCTAACTGAGGTCTGAGATCTCTAACTGAGGTCTGAGATCTGTAACTGAGGTCTGAGATGTCTAACTGAGGTCTGAGATCTCTAACTTAGGTCTGAGATCTCTAACTTAGGTCTGAGATCTCTAACTGAGGTCTAAGATCTCTAACTGAGGTCTAAGATCTCTAACCCCTGTCTTGGGTCTCTATCCAACCCGTCCTTCTAAGGAATCCCAAACGTCAGGAAACCGTCGTACTAAAATGCCCTTATCCTAACATACCAGAGGACCCAAAACAGAAAACGGACAATATATCAATTTTGCGAGTCGCTACGTTTTCTAGCACGACGATTTTCGGACCTAGGTGAAGTGTACGTCAAAATGCGACGTTCTATTACGAGACAGGTTGATCTATTCTAACAAGGAGAAATGAGGTAATAGATGCAACTCACCAGCCTTAAAGAACCAATAAAGTGTTAGAAAAAGAGTGAACACGACGAACGTTCTTATTACTCATTTATGATGTGTCAGAAACGTCTTTTGAACGGGTTATCTTGAGGTTATCTTGAGATGATTTCGGGGCTTTTAGTGTCCCCGCGGCCCGGTCCTCGACCAGGCCTCCAGCCCCAGGAAGCAGCCCGTGACAGCTGACTAAACTCCCAGGTACCTATTTACTGCTAGGTAACAGGGGCATTCAGGGTGAAAGAAACTTTGCCCATTTGTTTCTGCCTCGTGCGGGAATCGAACCCGCGCCACAGAATTACGAGTCCTGCGCGCTATCCACCAGGCTACGAGGCCCCGAGGCCGGGTACCACGGGTCTTGAAAAGGTTAAGTTCAAGAGTAACTTCGCCTTTGAAAAAAAACAGAGAAAAATGTAGATTTGTGGCGTCTCTAGCCGAAAATAAGAGAGGATGTGTTCCTTGGAATGTCTTTAACCTCAGGCTGGATGCGAGTGTGAGTTTCCGTCGACTGTAGAAGGGGGTTAGGGGTCACGATTCTTCTTGCAGCCCTGGGCGACCTAAAGTGCAATCACTGGGACACGTTATTACCCCTCGGAGGAACAGAGGCTAGATTCACGAAGCAGTTACGCAAGCACTTTACGA